AGAAGAGGCGTATCAGGTAAGAACCAACGCCCATTTTCACATAGGAGAAATCAATATATAATTCATGTAGCGGGCTATTTTGTCATTCTTTGCCCATGTCCTGTACAGCCCTATCTGTTTAACCATGCCATTAGAAACCTAATTTTTTTCAGGATGCGTGATCATGCAAGAGATGCTTATCTATAATGCTCATCTATAATATAAACCAGGGATTACCAAAGTCTTCAACTTATCCAGCTGTTCATGAAATTTCAAATGGTTCATTCACCTCCAAACATTTATATCAGGGATGTCAAACTGGTGGCCCGCAGGGTGGATGCATCGCTCCACAAAGGCAGAAAATGTCACAATATGTCACATGATGTGATTGAGTTTGACTCCCATGCCTTATATGAAAATAATTTAATATATGCTACTTTTATAATATTACAAATAATAATAGTAACAATAATGGGTAATCTCATCAAACCTTGGGAGTTTATACTGAATCTTTGGAGACCCTATTGAAAATGAATTCTATAGGCTAAGGCTAAGGAAATCAAGGTATGAGTGGTAGAAAGCCTGATATTGAGTTCATACATTGCTTTAGGTTGTAATATTGTATGGTTTCTTAGACTGATGAATAAACAATGTGGCTCATTTAACAATTCAAAATTAAACCATTCCATGACTTGGAATTAATGTGTACCTATAGATATATCACCACATATTCATTTACCTCTTAACAATTGTAAATATGGTGAGTCTTCATCTTTTCCAACTCTTTTATCCATTGATAGCATGCCTCCTAATTTGTATTTTTATTAATGCCAATAGAAAATCCCTTGTGTAGGATTCAGTTTGTATGATGTTTGGATACTTTTACAAAGCTATCTGTTCTGCAATAGCTATACTGTCCTAAATAGAGAAAATGATTCATCCTCTAATTTTCATAGCTTTTAACTTAAATTCAAGATGCAGAACCAACTCAGAAGGTCAGATAGGGAACAAGAGGGAGGAAAAGAAAAGGGAACAATAGAAGAGATGGAGAGAAACCAAGAGCATCCACTTCTCAACTAGATTTTCCATTCCTCTGAGTTATATTACAATATGGATGACTACATAAATCTTTTTAAACAAATAATAGTCTATGCTATGATAAATTAATAAGTTCTGACAGACTTCGAAGTAATATCATGGGAGAAGACAAACATTATTAGGCAATAATGATGTTGTCAGCCTCCAAACAGTACTTTTATCTGCAACAAATCTACAGACAGAGAAAGGAAAAATATTTACAATTTAGGTACTGGAAAATGATGGTTCTTCCTGGAAAAGGGATACTAATACGCAAATGGTCATCTGTTTATTTATAACTATTAGAATAGTTCTCAGTATATTTAAGTGCAAGAAGTCCTTTCATTTGAAATGCTTGGAATTGAAAATTTGTTTCATTGCTGTCTGGCATCAGTCCTACTGTTGAGCATAGTTAATGCCTGGGTCTTATTTAATTCCCCCCCTCCTCCTTAAAAGCCTTCAGTCAGTACTGAGTGACTCAGTCTGACATATTTTAGATCTCCCAGAATGCCCTAAAATAAAGTAACTTGAGGACATTGTAGGAAATTAAATTGGAGACTTAGAGCTAGCTGTTGAAAATATTGCAGCAGATAAGCCAGCTGAGGTACATTGATACAAGAGAACCTCACAGTATTACTTAGAACCCCCATGACAAAACGGAAGCCTTAGGATTTTCCCCAGTATTTTATTATGATAATCTTCCTCCAATTTTGGCTGTAAATTCTGGAAGATGCCATCCCAGAACATATGGAAAGGACCGAGTTGGGAAATTCTGGTTTGGTGTATTTAGAAAATATATTTTGCTGAGACAACATGATCTGAAACTTTTCTAAGCAAAATAATTGATCCAGGAAATGTTAAACATTTGCTTCTTTTACTCTTACATGATCTTCCTTTTGGCAAGAGTTGTCTAAGATTTATTGTTTAGCATTGCTATTGTGAGTCCTAAAGTACACATCATTAACAAGGTTGTTTAGAAAACAACCTGGGGAGAAATATCTGTTTAGGGTTTTTTTCCCCTGTAAGTTCAGGTAGTCTCAGTGTAATATTAGATAATAAAATGCTTATTGGGTCTATTTATTTCTCCTGAACCCAAAATGTTCTTAAGAAAAAGGGAGAAAATACGGAACTCCCTAAACTAATTACCAGTTTCCAATCTGCTTATCTAAACCTCACTGGTCAGAGCAGTGGCATTTAACTCAGAATGCTGAATTCTCCATCATCCTGCTTATAAGTTTCTGTGTTGTCAATCAGAGATTGGAATGTTTGTTCAGACAATGGAGCCAAAATTTCTCTGCTTAGAGCTTTGTTTTGAAATGTTCACAGTCTCCTGGGGCAATTATCTGCCTGAAGAGTGAGATACGTGACACCATTTATAGCCTATGTTATGAAGCTTCAAGCTGGAATAAAGAAAAGTAAGAGGGAGACAAAGAAAACTCTCACACACATTATCTATCATCTGTCTGTCTATCTATCTATCTATCTATCTATCTATCTATCTATCTATCTATCT